AGTACAGTAATAAAGATATAAAAATTACACTTTATACCTGCAGAGAACACTATGTAACGTTGCTATCTGTGCATGGCGTGCAGACCTGAAATAGTTTATGGGGTCTTGATGATATGCATTCTCGAGAATTCAACTGTACTTAAATGTGAGACTTAGACGTTAAGAAACTCAGGCTGTTCTCCATTGACTCACCATGGACACTTTCACCTCCACCCTGAATCTCTGACCTCTCAGTGTCTACGATTTCAAAACAAGATCCCCTCAAACTCGCAGTGTTACTGTGCATACCGATGCTCTCGTCAACACTATCGATGCTGACGCCCAACTGAACTCGAACGATGATCAGAGTAGGTGCTATTCCCTGTAAATGTCTCAAATGAATGACATGCAAACTGTGACCTAGCATAAGTAGACTTACAGCCATTTGAGTCATAATTGCATACAGATTTGGGAAGACAGGCATTGTTTGGGGCAAAACTTCAAAAATTAGCGTAGCAACAGGATACAGAAGGCCAGATTCCACACTAAAATTACATGATATCAAAAGAGGGAATTTATGAGCGGATTCAATACATATAATGACCAGGATCGGATAAAAACTCACATTAAAGCGACAGAAGACTCGTAACGCTTTCTCGGGACTTTCCATGCTTCAGTGCTCAGACAGACTTTGTCAATCTGCCTCACGATCCACCATATCTTTCCAGCTAGTTAATCAGCAATATAAGTGTGCAGAAACATGAAAAAAGAAAGGTGCATATTACCAATCAACGTCGTTAGCAGCACATTATTAATCACATTCATAGTTAAGAATACAAACATCATATCTGTGGCGGCCTTTTCCAGAGATGGCAATCGATGGGCTTGAACATCACTAAATTTCTTCACCATGATCATAATAATAGCACCTAATCCTATACCTTGTTGCCGATTAGATTGGTGGGCACGGATATATTGATCTCGGCAGAATACCTACAATTACTTGCAACTGAGATTATGGTTGGTAGAATAATCACTTTCTTTGAACTGTTCCAAATAATAAGACAGCGGTGAATCTGTTTATGAGAGATTCAGGTAATAGCTCATCCTCATATGCAAAGACAGCGCTTACCAAGACAAAGTCTGCAATCATACTTAATACCAGACGATAAGAGACTAAAGTGAAAATAATAAAAGTTATACATACTTTGCCAGTAGGTATCCGATCTCAGTAATAAATCTGTCAATTTCAAAGAATTCACTAGCTTTAGATGAATATCTTGACAACGCAACATACGATAGTTTCGCATCTAGAACCAGCATATCCTTCGGTGTCATTGATCTTGTCAGCCCTCCCAAATTGAACGCCGCATGTATTCCCAAGACATCACTGACAAGGTCTGCAACTGTCACGATGGCGCTCAGAACAAAAAGGCTGATCAAAGCCCAGAGATAAACACTTTGGCTCCCAGCTGTCAATCCCCTTTTTCCGGAGAACGTGCGAATCGCAATTCCAAAAAGGATTGCGTAGCCACCTGAATGGAACGAGGTCATTTTAATGAAGTCCTAAATCGATTTACCACTGACCGAAAAAAAAGGCCTCGAGCTATATTCCTCGCCCATGGAATACCGAATTAGATCAAGAGTATTTCATTAAGTGCATTAATACTTACAGTCCAAATGGTCAGAGTCTGCTGAATGAAAATTTGAGTCTCGATAGTAACAGTCATATCGATATATATGACAACGTGAAAATTTGAGAGGAATTTATGAGAACCACAAGATTTATCAAGGTGCTTAAATGTAGTCCAGTAAAGTGGTTACTAATTGTTTGGAGTTACCCCGTGCGCATTAGTGCTAGAAATCCCGTGTGTGATTCATGACCGTCATCTATTAGATGCGTTGATGGCAGATGAACATGATACAAATACATCGTGCAAAGTTGTGATGTAAATTGACTGGTTTTCTGCCAACAAATCTCAGATCAAAGGGAAGGGCGCCACCGCTACACATGGTGAGTATGAGGCTGTAATTTGTTGGAAAATTCAAGTGCCGAACAAATGTCTAAATTATGCCATGGGATTTGAAGCAAAAATAAATCGCGGAACTTTGGCCTATTTTTAGCATCCGCGCGGAACTTTACGTTATTTTTTGATTCATCCGCACACTTGCAGCGTGACGTGTGACTGGTCTCATTCCGCAACTTCATCTTTCATCGCAAAAGTATACGTGCATATCATATTGTATACCAATTACTGGCATGAGCATTTCAGTATCCAACTTTGTTGTCATTGAGTGACCTGTCTAAGTGTTATAGTGTAAATGCTTTAACATTCTCTCAATGAGTAAATTATTATCCAACATATTAATATAAATACATGCTTTTCAACTACATATTTTATGTCACTTGTGTGTCAATATTACATTTGGTTGCTGAGGAAATCAGACAGATAAATCACTATTTCTTTATTCATGGTTTGTCTACCACATCAATTGGAACTATAGCCAGGTTCAATCCCTCCTTGTAATCACAATTATTCAGCATTTGACTAGCAAACCTTCATTTATCTGAACATTATTATGCTGGATTGTGTACATCTGCAGATACCCTAGAGTAGTTGTGTATATCCAGCTTATATTATTCTGAGTAATACAGATATTCACTTCAGTAATAGATATCTGTTGTATGATGTATCAAAATTTGGAAAGGCAACAGACTGATACACCATAGATAATTATCAAAATGGAATAAATAAGAAATGAAGATTGAACTGAGAAAAATCCAAGTTAGTTTTAATGGAATGGGCATTTAAGCCATGCTCCTCTTCAATATGAAATCATTTCTTACCATTGTGAAAATGCAGTCTGTTACCTTTATGGCATACTCTATCTAATAGGGGTTTCATAGTTTTCAAAATTCAGTTAGCTGTCAATGTGCCTTAATTTCAATGTACATGTCTATAATAATATTTTTATGGTACACTTAAGAAGAGCATGTCTATATAATAATTTTTTGTACTGGCACAAAGTACAAATTTTTGCACCCAAAAGCAAGTTTGCGACGAAAGACAAAGTTGCGGAACGAGACCAGTCACATGTCACGCTGTAAGTGTGCGGATGAATCAAAAAAGACGTAAAGTTCCGCGATTTATTTTTGCTTCAAATCCCATGGCATACTAAATGTCAATTAACAAAACCTCTCAAGCCTTGAATTACTACTGAAATTCAGATTTTTAATGTGAATACTTATGCTGTGAACAATTAATGTGGGAAATCCAGTTATCTATCTAATATCTGGATGAGATGCATCCCTGAAGTTGACTAGCTGCAGGAACAAAGAGCTATCTCAATTCAAGGACAGAAGAGAGCAAATCAAAGATTCTAAGTATACTTTAAATCTTTTTAATGGGATTAATCCAGTAAAATTGTAAGAAATATAGATACATGAGTACAAGTCTTACTCGATAATAATCAATGAGTCGGATCTTGTATTATAATCAGATACAGATCTATGAAGCCAAAATGCAAAGGTAACATTGGTAATAAATTCTGCGGGACACGCTCTTTATTTGGGGACAGTGACCCGCATACACCACATCATGAACTTTGCACGATGCTTAGCATCCGTGCGGAACTTTACAATTATCCTGTGACTGGATTCATTGCAAACTTCCCGCCCCAAGCAATGGCTTAAAATTAAACATGAATGAGTTCTCGGCATTGTTGGCGATGGTGCCTGGCGATGACTTCGCTTTGAATTCAATGATGCCAACGTTACTGCGCAACCCGCGGGTGAGGCAGTATCCAGACTACACGTAACTGAGTTACCGCGCAAATCTTGAAAGTTAATTTTGGCTAAAATCCAAAGATTACTGCAGGACAAGAAGACAGGCCGTTGTAGTCGTTTCAGCCATCGGCTTGACTGCCAAAAAGTAAATTTGACATTTAATCATTTCAACAGCACAAAGCGATGCCATAATCCTGGGAAAAACCTACCTGAAATGTCGAGGCAGCAGTATTTAAGGGATTCCTCGCGAACGTGTGGTTAACAATAATCATGTCGAGAAACCTTAGGCTCTACTTTTTTCTTTTGCTTCATATTCACTGTCTCGTATGGTGTTCCCGTTCCCCGAACGACGCAAAGCCCAGGTAAGAATTTATCTAGTTATCTAAGTTGTGGGGTGATTTTCTGATACCTGTGTAAAAGAAATGGGAGACTGCGTTTCTATCGTAGATTGCGGATGCCTTCCTGGTATTCAATGTCTGTAAGTTGACATTCTTTACTAGGAATTTTTTTTACCATTAGTATCATAGGCCACAAATAAACACGATTCTCTAGACTTCATGCAGAACTTTGCTTTTCTACTTATATATATACACATACTTACAAGTACCACCATAATAATGTTTGTCGATGCAGCTGCATGCCAATACTTGTGTTATTTATTAAAGTTTTATTAAGCTGAGAATTAATTGGTAGTTGTAGTATTTTAATTTAGCTCTCAACCCTTGTAAACTTTAAGATTTACACTTGAGTCCTTGTGCTTGATTCCAGTCCATTCTCTCTGCTTTAATTGCAAGGCCACAAATTGAATTTCCAGAAACACACGCCTTCCTAATGTAGTTGCCGTAAGTTGTCATTCTTTACTCCTCTTATCATTGGTATCATTGGTATCATAGGCTACAAATAGACACGATTCTCTAAACTATATGCAGAGCTTTGCTTTTCTGCTCATATATATGCACATGCGTAATAATGTTTGTTAATGCAGCTGCATGCCAATATTTATTGAACTTTTCAATTGATTAGTATTTGAATTTAGCTCTCAAGTCTTGCACTTGAAGAATTACTTGAGCCTTTGTGCTCAATCCCATTTTCTCATTGGCTTTAATTGCATTACCTCAGGTGTTTTCAAAAGGCCTTTGTTCAAGTTTCTGTGCTCAGGCTGATACTTTATGCAAATTCTTACTACACATTGTCTCGTATGAGAAAAAAGATCAACAGTAGCCTCTCATATCAATGCCCACTGGTTGGATTTCAATGAACAACAGACCTCACCATTGTAAGTACAAGGTAACCAGGATATACGAGTGGCGTGCTCTGCCGCTGAGCTTAGTAGGCTAAACTGACTCTGCTTAGCATTTTGAGTATCTTAGTTGATAAACTGAAACGTGGACAAACCTGTAATAGGGGCGCGTTGACGCTGAGGTGAAGACACAAAGCAACTAGATGACTTTTAAACAATGATATACCCAATGCTTGACGAATCACAACATAGACATAATACAATGCCTGGCTCTGTGATGTCCCTTAATCAAGGGGTAGCGGGAGTTCGACGGGTCACTGCACTTGTGTATCGAATTGTATTAAAGTTGATCTCAAAATGGCAAACTTTCCCGCCCCTGATGCGCCCTGTCTAATATCAAGGGATATCTTTGAACGTTTCGTTGGGATCAATTGGAGATAAAATAGTACGTTACGGGGCGCAAACTCGTGGGAAGCCAATGGGTTGGCTGCTTGACGGGCAGCAAACCTGGGGTCAGTGATAAAGAGCTCAGGGCCTATTCAGATGGATGGAAAAAGGTTACATTGATAAGTTGGCAAAAGACCTGTGTCCTTCAAATGGTCTGAACTAGCTTAGACCACAACAATCAGTTCCAGGTTGACAGGCAGCCAACCATCAGCTTCCCATGAGTTTGCGCCCTGTGTAAATGATTTTGGGGTATACAAAAAAGCTACTTTTAGTTATGGCTTTTAGGAAATCCGAAACAGGCAATTTGGCAACTAAATCCGTTTCTATACATTAGAATGATACTAGGAAAAAGCGGTCTTAAATGAGTCATTAAGAAGAGATTACGAGGCCGAATTTCGTCCTTACTCAATCTAGTCATTTAGTTGATCGGGGTTCCATTTGGTATATCAATAATCACAGTCCCAGGTGTGATTGTCATTTTCCGATTCTTAACTGACCTCGTACATGCCGCGCGGAAGCGACGGTCCTCTTCTTTAAATTATGTAGTATTATTGCCAATGTATATATGTTCATTGTATTTGGAAACATGGCGATCAATGGTGATGATTATCCTACTTCAGTGTTTTGAACTCGGACAGCATCGGCGAATGGGGATGATTTAATGGCCGGCTTTTCCGGCTTTTCCATTTTTTCCGCTGGTTTGAGCAAAAAAAAAAAACAGACTGTTTCTCGCATGTCCACAGTAGTGACAACGTAAAACTGAACTTGAAAGTGAGTCAGGTACATGGTTTTGAAGAAAAAGACGAGCCTTAGCAACCAATCACTGGTGAAATTCTGAACTTGTGGGAAAATGAGTCTGGCGGGTACCTGGTTGGTTGGCGGGCAGGTGAATTTTGCGGGTCACATTTGCGGGACAGATCTCAGATTTGCGGGACAGTGACTGTGCTAATCCTTATGCTGTTCACTTTGCACAAAAAATAAAGTACATTATTTCCCCCACTTTTTTTGAAGTACCCCCAGCTTTTTTCTGAAGTAACCCCCTGGCTTTTTCAGAAGTGCCCCCCACTTTTTTCAGAATCCCCCCCAGCTTTTTTTTGAAGTCCCTCCTGGCTTTTTTCTGAACACCTTTTATTCAAAACACTCCCCTTTTTAATGGTTTCTAAAATTTTCTATACCAAGTCACATCTATGCCATGGGATTTGAAGCAAAAATAAATCGCGGAATTTTGGCCTATTTTTAGCATCCGCGCGGAACTTTACATCATTTTTTGATTCATCCGCACACTTCTAGCGTGACATGTGACTAGGCCAAATCCGCAACTTCTTGGACATCGGACAAGGAATGGTGCAAAGATGATTGAGTTTGAACTCCGACAATATTCAGCATGAGGCTGGCCTTGCAGTAAGGCATGGTCTATCTTTTACTGTCACTTTGCTTGTTCTCAGAGTGTGTGCATGAGGACTCAGGATAAGCACGCAATCAGGCTGATGGGCTAGATAGGTAGCTTGGGTGTTTATAAGATGTGACATGGCTGCACATTTCAAACAGTTACCTTGGAGACTTGCCCATCTAGAAATATGATTCTTTATTGTTTGATTGTCAAAATTTACTAAAAATTTCATGAAAATTGGTTAAAGCTTGTGGAATTCTAATTACCATATTAGGTGACAGGACTCTGGCAGCTTTGTAGCACTAGCTGTTTCATGGAATTGGTCACATTGAAAGGAGCTTATGATTAGGTGGACCTTTCAATAGCAGTCAATCCCTTCAACCTGAATTCAAGGCACAACAGTGGGATAACTGGAAGAAGCCAAAATAAGCTGAAACAGTGTCAGAGGCAAAGGAACTGATCCTGGGTTTCTGGGAGCTGAAGAAGCTTCACTTGAAGCTGATGGTACTGGAGAACCTATCACAAATTGAACAGAGTGATGATAATGAATGTATAACAAAGCACTAATGAATATACAGGAAAATGTGTGAATGTGATGGAAAAGAATCAAGTCATAGGTATAAAAATCAAAACTCATTCTGATTGTTTCATGATGTGAAAATATTGTTATCATCTTATTGTAGTTGAAGACCCAGATGTTTATAAAATCTGCTAAAAGTGGTCATCTTTACTATATACTCCATTTTTTTATATATCATATCTATACCAGATGTTATTGTAACCAGAAAGTATTACCTAACATTCATGATCTATAAATATTAAATGGTCAAGAGACATTTGGTGTCCTGGAGGGGAGATGTGGGTACAAGCTCTAGGTGTTTACAATCATATATTTGCTTGAATAAATGAATGATAGACTTGAACATAAAAATTTTAATTCATGTCTTAAAAGTTTTGCGGCTGAAGTTTCCGATGTCCAAGAAGTTGCGGATTTGGCCCAGTCACACGTCACGCTAGAAGTGTGCGGATGAATCAAAAATGATGTAAAGTTCCACGCAGATGCTAAAAATAGGCCAAAATTCCGCGATTTATTTTTGCTTCAAATCCCATGGCATACACATCACTGTATTTATGAAAAGTTCCATTACATTGTGTACAGATTGTATATGAACACAAAAGTTACAACAGGCTGAAGTACAATAAAACAACATAAAGAGATAGTACAGGATTACTTGACACTCCCAACAAAAGAAATGGACGAATTTGACAGCACTCAAGTCTTAATGGGAGGTGTCCCCAAGCACTGGAGTTTGATACGTGCAATCATTACCTATAGTAACAAGTTAAAACAGTAGTGTTATTGGTCAGAATGTAATAGACACACCAGTTAATCTCGCCCCCAGGCCATACTGTAATAATTTTATAAAATGTCTGTTGCAAATCAATGAGTTGGATTTTATAAAAACCATTGCAAGTCAATATTTTTTCGCGCGCAGCAGCACCAGCATGGGTTTTATAAAATCCTAAGTCACCCTAAATGGTAATGGTGCCGAGACTCCAGTCCTTGGCTGACTCAGATAATCGAGTCTCTGATAAGATCTAGTAGATAAGATCTAGTAGACGCGGCAAGCGGCATAATTAGATTAGTCATTGATGTGACTTTTCTCTTCCGTTTCTCATACTTCCGTTTCTCTTACTTCCATTTCTCTTACTTCCGTTGCTTTTTCAACATATAATAATCATTTTATTGTAGTACAGGTACGTCCGCGCTCAGCCTCTGATTAGATTAGTCATTGATGTGACTTTCTCTTCGGTTTCTCTTACTTCCGTCGCTTTTTCAACATATAATATAACAAGAAACGACTTTTTATTGCAGTACAGGTACGTCTACGCTGCTACTCTAGAGCTCACTAGATCTACTTTTTTTCACCTCTCGATCTCAACACAGGACGTGGACAATACACAAGAAATGCGTGCAGCTACCAAATTGTACATTCCCGCTCCCCTTACTTGCCAATCATGTTTCGCGTGTCTTTAGGGGCAGTGCGAGTGCGACCAGAGCGACGTGCACTGGTAGTACCTTCTGCAGCTGTGGTACCTTCTGCACCCTCAACCGGTGGAACATTCTCTTTCTCTGCTTGAGAATCCACTGGAGGATCGTTTGCAGCCTTTGTTTTACGCTTCTTTGCCTGGGTTTTAGGTCCATCATCTGCTCCCTTTGACGCTGCTGGTTGGCGACCGCGCTTGCGTTTGCCCTTTCCAGGGGCCAATACTTGAGGCTCAGCAACAGAGGACACCGCTGCATTCGCCATTTCCGGAATCGGCTCCGATGGTCCGAAGCTCATAGGAAGCCCAGAGGGAGATAGAGCGTATGGCGAAAGATGGATCAATTGAGGGTCGATTACTGCTGGAGCGACTGTAGCTGGGACGATTGGAGCTACGGAGGGGGCCTGGATGATAGCTGGTGCGATAGGAACACCCTCGGTGACAGGAGGAATGACAGCTGAGGCAGCGGCAATGGTTCCTGGACCCGTGGTAATAGGAACAGGGCTGACGACAGGAGGACCAACTGGGGCAACAGGAGCAACGGGAGCAGGGCTGATGACAGGGGATATAGTTCCAGCAACAGGGGCAACGGGAGCAGGGGATACGGTTCCAGCAACAGTGGCAGTGCCTGGATTAGCAACACCTGGACTAACAGGAACTGTGGGTGGTGTAGCGTGTTTTGTGTGACCCTTCTTCCCTTTAGCCTTTTCTGGGGACTGCTGACGTGTTGGCGTGGATGCTGAACCCTTTTCAACAACAACGATACTTTTGCTTATAGGTTCAACGGCTTCCGCCGTTTTGTTCGTGGTAGCTCGGTAGAAATCTTTGACGAAAGCGCTGAATGGTCCGGTCAACGTGTTCTCGTGATTGGGAAGTGACTCGGCAAAACTCAAACCCGCACGATTTACACCTGCGTCATAACTTAATTCCCATTAGTATCAGAACGTCAAGGAGGAAAATTCAAACATACAAATGTGTCTTCAGCTGGCCAGTTTTGTGGTCCAACCCTCCTACCATGAACGTGCCAGTCCATCCCAATTCAAGCAACTGCTTCCCAACACGCTCAATCAAGTCTGGAATCAGGTGCGTCAACCTGAAAAGCATCATGAGCATTTTAGTTGAATCCGGAAAGCTTAACACCTACTCTTCCTTTTCTTGTTTCTCGCTTTTTTCCTCTTCCTCCTTCGATTCAAGTCTCTGCTTCTCCACTTC